CAGAGCTCAACAGGATTTAGATGCCGAAATACAAGTAGCAAGGCGGATCTCTTACGCTGGCCTGTGATTTGCTTGGACCGCTGAGGAAAGCCACCTTTCAGAAAAAAAGTAGCACTTAGTTTAATTTGAAGTAAAAGCCGCTTATTGGTAGAAATTGTGTAATGTACAGAGGACAGAGAGGACGATGAATGTTGAAATCTTGGAGGTGAAAAGGTTAATTAGCGAGAAAGCGGCCACTAGCGCGGGGAAACATGAGTAATCGATTCATGATTGGCGTTAGCTTTGCACCTGTTTGGTTCAGTAGTTAAAGCGAGTTTTATGAAATAAAAATAAATTGTAGTACAGATGGTAAATCCAATTAAAAATCTCGTCTTACTTTCTATAGCTCTCGCTATAGATTCGATAACGCAATAGATCAAGGTGGGACATTGTTCACCACCCATGCTGCAATTGCTGATATCAACGCCATATTTTTGAAAGGCCAAATCTGGTTGTATGATCGATTGACTGTCAATAAATAAAAGCACTTCAATGATGTAGATTCGCCTCATAATTTTCAGGTAAGCATACATAACAACTGTTATCTATCCTAATAAAGATAAATCCACATCAAAAAAACCTGACTAAGGTGAAATAAAGCACAATTCTAACCAAATATACGGTTTCTACCATGAAAAAACAAAAAGCATATGAGGAGGATGTGATGCAAATCGTGAAGTCGGAGCACCCAGTCACTTTATGAACTGTTTCTTTCTTTCTTTTCTTTTTTTTGTGCACTCCTTTTTTGCAATCGCAGACAGCATGCAGGCCAAACAATCACAACCAAAATGTGCGTTAACCCTTTAACCCCCTTGAGCGATCAAGAAAGAATGTCCCCTTACAATATCAGTACAACATCAAGCAGACAAGTGATAAGAATAAAGAGAAATGTCAAAAATGAGATTATTAGTTGATCCAATGCGAAAGTCTCCAAAGTAACCTCATAAGAATTGTGTGACAAACCGTAAGGAGAATTAATAATGAGACTCTGGGAGTAAAAAGGTTAGAAAGACTTCGCAACATCAAGCATAACGAGAAAGGAACAACAGAACACTGGGCTGGGATTGTAAACTCATACTAAATACCAGATACTCTACAAAAACACCTCTCTGCTTGTTAACTTGTTGTGGTGAATGTTTATTTATAAAACTTTACCTTTGATCCTTTGCTCGATTCCTTTCCTTGGTGTCGAAGTCTTAATGGCCGGTGACAAATTTTCCCAATCAAAAGATTCATTTACTGATCCGCCCTCATCCTCTGCGTCACTATTCAAAGGAGTCACCGATTTGAAACTATCGGAGACGCTGCTCACAGTGCCAACTGAATTTCTACGTCTACTTCCTCCCAAGCAGAGCTTCCGCCTTAAACGCTCCTTTTTGGAGTCTCGAGTATCATCGACTTTTGGTGATCCTGGTTAAACACAACACATTTATAAAGTTAGCTTCGTCCTCCATCTTCAAGAGTCCATGGATCCTTTGTCACAATAAAGTTGTTTACTGTAACAACTCGTTAGGGGGAGAAGGTCAATTGAGATGCTGTTCTATTGACAACTATAGTGCCCAGTACCTAATAAAAAAGAGTATTTCCTAATGGAGTTTTAGTCAAGATGAGTTCTCTATTTCAATGATTACTAATTACAATTTTGAAGGCGTATTAAAATCACCGAAGAACTTAGGAGGAAAAATTCTCTAAATACTTCCAATTCGCCAGGCGAGGGAGCAGTGAAAACGAACGGCGAAGCCGCGAGATGTTGGGCGGGTTTCGAAGCTCTTCGCTTCTCAAATTGCACAAAAAACTACGATATACGTAAGATGACAGACAGACTCTGACTGACAGAAAAAACCTAACATATTTAACTCAGATCGAGATAATACAGCTGTATCTTTGTTCAGAAAACGATGCTGATGTAAAGAAGACGTATCCTACCTGGACCTCTCTTTTCTTTGTTAAACTTTCTCCTCAGCTTGTTAATACCGAATACGTGATCCTTGCTTGTGGGCACAGGAGAAATTCTCAAACTTTCACCAAATCCAGAATCTTGCCGAAGACTACTAGGAACAGTAAAACCTTTCTGATATATTGACGCCACTGCCGGGGGCTGTCTAGCCGCGGAATTATCCGCAGAAACATCAACGTTCATGGGACGTACATCGATTTCTACGACTCCACCGGGGACAGTGGGTAGTCGCCGACCTGACCCTCCGCGGGACACCCTACGCATATTTGTTGTATCACGCGATATATGTGATTCAGATGACGTTATTGATAGTGTTTCGTCAGACTGTGATATTTCGCTGTTTGTGCTTGAGACACTTGTTTTCCTGGTAGCCTGTGGCAGCTTTCTCCTTTTTCCTGAGCCCGTTTTCCGAGCTGGGCGTTGGACGGAGACATAAGAATCCCTCACATTGGTTGCACTAGAATCAGAGACATTGGTAACAGTTCTTACCTCTGGAACGTGGGCAACAAAGGTTTCTGCGAATGCTACTCTAGCCATTCGCACATCGTCAGGCTGAACGACAAGTCCGGTCGAAGATTGAAGACGAAAGTCGACACTTTCCTCTTCGGAAGCGAAAACGTTGTCTAAATCAACAGCAATTATCTCGCTGTCCCGCAGAGCGTCTTTCAAATCCTTCTCGCCATCAACTTCAGATGACTGGGAACATTTTAGATAATCTACGAAATTCACATCAGCCGATTGGTTTAACTCTAATTCTTGACTAGTATGCTGCCAATCTTCTAACTCCTCAAGTTTTGCTGGCTCACTCTGTGTAGTAGCTTCAGTACACCACTTCTCCTTATCTCGCGTAGAATCGCTCTGTCTGTTAGCGATTGATCTATTGTTCTTCTTCAATTCCCTCAATTGTTTCTCAAGCATCCTTACATATTCAGCAATTTCGTTCCGAGCTCCCAACTGCTGCTGGTTCGTATCTTCCACATGTTTATTCATGGCAGCAACAATCCTGTAAAAGAAGAAGGGAAAAAAACTTAGAACAAAGGTGACCACAAGATACGTTTAGCCTCTCAGCCCTGATAACCCACTACTGATGACGCCCAGCGCGGCTTCATGAGCATGAAATGACTTAGAGTTTTGATTTTACTCAGCTGAGAAGTCTATCGCAAGTTAACTATTAGCTTTAGGCCATTCACATTTCTAAGTGGAGATAGGCGCTGTGAGAGTTTACACAACCGATCGCCGCGATCTGCATGTAAAAATCGCCTCGAGTGTCGCCAGCCTTAGGTATATGGCATCAAGAACAGTCAAGCGGGGCCTTTGGTTAGGATACAAAACAATCTTACCAAAGTCAGCAGCAATAGTAACTTTACTAAGACTGTTTGTCTTACATGCGTTTATGTGCTTCTGTACGTGTAAACCGAACGTGTAAACCAGCCCCAAAAACCAAAACCAAGGAAATCCACCTGGCCTATCAGTACAGCGTAAAATAACACAAAAACTATCTACAACTTGGATAAAAGAATCGGCCGACCGCAATCCAATCAACACTCGGTGGAAAATTGCTTTAGTACAAGGATGATAAAATGATACTTACTCTGACTACCTAAGCAACAGTAAACGATAGAAGTCTGTACTTACCAAGTATTAATCTAATCGCGGTCTGATGAAAAGGACAGTTAATACAAACATTTTCCTCCTCAAATTAACCCTTAAACCCCCAAGAGTGTCAAGCATCTAATTTATCCTCATAGCATCACTTCTGAATCGAACATTGGGGTCGTGAGACTAAAGGAAATGATCGCAAATTAAAGAAGCCCTTGATTGTTAAACAAAGTCGTCTTGATAGTCTTACTGATGATACAAGTACGGGGTTAAAAAAAACAAATCTGAGCATATTTATAACAGACGTTTTATCCTTCAACGCTTGAAGTGGTACGGTTTTCTCCTTACATTTTTCTTCTTTCAGTTCAACAAGCAAAAAAAAAAAAAGGGCAGGCAATGTTAATTGGAATTGAAAGCTACATCAGCAGATATTTCTACGTTTAAAAATTACTTCGCCGCCGGATTTACTTTGTTTTATTGTTTATTCCACTTAGAAAAAATGGGTTGCAAAATAATAATTAAAACCGATTAGTTCCGCGATATCAGGTAAATTTCATCTCCCTCTTATTTTACTCGAGCCGATCTGGTTGCAAACCAATAAAAGCAAAAAAAAAACTTGTCTAAGCTATTTTAGGTTTCCTCGAAAAGACCTAATATAATTTTTCCATCTTAAAATAAACTTTTATGAAGGTAAGTCTGATGAATTTCATTTCGCTTTGTGTAATAAAATGAATCCGTTTGACATTTTTCCTAAAATTCTTATCACAAAAGGACCAATGACCCCTCTTTATAAATGATACTTCTAAAGTAGAGAAAATATTTTGTATCAAAATCTCCTGAGAACTGTAATCTCATCTCAGATTTACTTGCATTCTGGAAGCGAATGAATCCAATCACCTTGTGTTAAAAGTAAACGAAAGACGGCGTTCGACTGTTCTAAGACATTTTTGGGCAGGTGTCCAAACCGTAATTTTAATTCAATTCAATTGGCAGCTGGGAGCAACTACATCGACAATAATATCGCGTTTTGCTCCGACCTTACCTTTAGGTAACAAAAGGGTTGTTGAGTGGTTTTTGAAAACCAACTGAATCTTTTGCACCACAAACAACTATTAATATCTCGTTCAGGCCAATATATTCTTTTTCAATATTCCATAACAATTACAAAGTAACTCAACAACGTCAGTGTAGCTGATAGTCTGAATATAGTAGATTAAAATGATATTGGATATTTTTACGAGAGAAAGATGATATGTAATATTTCTACGAGAGAAAAATAAAATTAAAAGTTTTTACAAACCTTTCCCATTCTTTAAGTTGTGCACGCAAATCGTTGGTGACCCTCATGTCCTCGTTATGTCTTGCCTCTAAGACGCGTATCTCATCCTGAAGTCTTTCGTCCTCCACGATAACTTGCCCTTCGCTTAGATGGCGCGAATTATCAGTTTGAATTCCAAGCGAGTGACCCGTGTAATTAGAATTCTTGACATTTTCCTCCTTGTAAAGCAAGAGGTTTTGAAGTTTTTCTGTCAGAGCTTCTACCTCTTGTTCACTCCGGACTACAGCATCCCTAAATGAATATTTCTCGTCTAGAATTTTGCCAAGTTCTTCGTTCTTCTGTTTCATATCTTTCTCAAAGGCAGCCAACTTGTCTTGAGCGGATGATATTTTTGCATCTTTCTCTTTGATATTGGCTGTTAAATCTCTTATTCGGCTCTGAGCAAGCTCCAACTCTCTTTCGCGATGATCACTTGTAAGCGAAACCAAACGCCGTTCATTTTCACTCTCAGCTAGCAATTCCTTCAGCTTATCTCGCTCTTTCATAAGAGCACGGAAGTCCTCTCGCGTTTTCACAGACTCCTCTCTCCTCAAAGCAAGCTGCAGCTCTATAATTTTGCTGTCTGGTAACAACAGGCTTTCATTTAAGCCGTTCGTGCAGCTGAGTTTACCGTCACAACTCGACAGAATAACATTCACCCGCTGTTCTCGCAAACGCAGATCTTTAATATCTCGATAAGCTTTTGCCAAAGCGTCCAACACCTCCCAGTTGCTCTTTTTGGCTTTCAGCAATTCGTTGTTTAGCCTTATAATGGCAGAATTATCGTTGCGACGACAAACAAGCGAAGAAGATGGCGAAGCACTGTTCAAGCATTTAACCAACGAGATCGCAGAGTCAGCTTCTGTGTCTGAAGCTGAAAAGACCGACTCCTCGGGATATTCCATGTTCAGGTTCTCATTGAGTCCGTTTTCATTCACAGCCAAATCTTGTGACAGGCCCAGCGAGGAACATAATGAATCACTGTTGAACAATATCGAATCGCTCGCGGAAGTTTCTTCAGTTTCTTGTGCAACCGGACCCATACCGTTTTCGTACATTGGACCTTACACGCAATATTTTCAAATCACTTCGTGTCTGCTAGCACGCGTTTTTTTTCGCTCGCTCTGAGAACGTCATAAAGATAAATCTCTGTGACGCAAATGTTGCACGCGCAAGAAAATCGCGCCCTTAAAGTGATCAGTGTTTCTGACTTTTGGAACCTATGCTCCGAGTTCACATCGAAAGCCATTCGTAGTAAAAATGTGCTTGACTCACCCGAGCTAAAATTATTCATAATGTAGCACGGTTTGTATTTGTTGACTTTAAACAAACTGCATACCTCTTGAACACACTAAAAACCTTGGCAACAGTGTTAATTTTAACAGCGTGCCTAAAACCCGAACGTTTGTACAAGGCGTGAAAACGCTGTTATTGTCTTTTTAATTTAATGTCAAACCGTCCGACAACTACTAATGAAGTGTTTGCTTTTAAGGCTCCTAGATGAAAACGTAATCGGAAAATTAAGAGGCTTAACTAATTCTACTAAACAACTTAAATAAGATTAACCAGTTAGAAGTTTTCAAACGCAACCATCAGGTTATCGGTGCGTAACTATTCGTTATTAAGGTAAGATAATTTAGCTGAATCAACTGAGTTTGATGTAGATTGGGTTAAACAGTTTCCACGAGGATTTCTGGAGCTGACCTTTCGAATGATAGCTCTTCATCATTCACTCTGACGAAGGGCCAACGCTCGAAAAGTAAGTTTAAGAAACTCTCTACGGAGGTCCATTAACATAATCACCCCAGTTGATAAAACCAAATTATCTCGTTATACTCCCCCGCCGACGCACAGTTTCTTTATAGACTTACCCCCTTTATTTAGTAAAGCAACGCAAGTTAGTAAGAGAGTTTAGTGTCGCTATACAACTTTTTCCCCCTCTTAAAATATCAGCAAATCAGTCATCTATAAATAGCATTATTGAGCTTAACCTTAGAACTCTCATAAGTTATTCATTTTTTCCTATAGATCCACACATTATCCAGCAAACTGCAAATAGTGAGAATACTGAGACTTTGAATACTAATTTGTCTTTTAATAATCGTATCTTGTTGGTCTTGTAACATTTTCAAGTGATTATATGTTTCATGCATAAGTATGGTAAAATTATAACTTTTCAGACATAAACAGCTCAAAGGATACCCAAACCAAAAGGCAAATTTTTCAAAAGAAGCTACATGAGTACTGAACATAAAATAGTAGTTTTGGATGTTGCAGTATTTTAAGGGAAAACTTTCTTCTCTACTGTCAGTGTTAAACTGGAAAGGGGTATTGTTGATAAAGGATAACATGAAAAAAATTGGTTCAAAAACAATGCCCTATAAATTCTTGATGTGAGAATTTACATAAAGTAATAAATTTTGCTTGATTGAACCCTCTTACATGTAAGCAATTTGGGAAGTTGAAAAAAAAACCTACCCTTGAAGTTCCAGTAAGATTAATGCTACATTTAAGCTTTCTTCTAATCACCTAAAGAATTATTCTTCAAATTCTTCTACCAAGAGATGAGGATTGAACCCTTTGCTCTCAAGATTCGAATGTCAATTCTCCACACTGCCAGCAATGCATTTCTTATAATAAAGCTCTGAGAATTTAGTTTCAAATCAAACAGTATCCCCTAGTTAACCTTTTTCTACTCATTACTTCTCTCCTTGAAAACATATTGATATTGTGACAATACATATTTGGTCACCCTTGCAAACAAACAGGTTAACCCTTTAACCCCTAAAGGTGACTAGCATCTAATTTCTCCTTACAATATCACCCCCAAATCACACATTAAGGTCATGAGAATAAAGGAAATGGTCACCAACTAGAGAAGTTCTGGATTATGAAACAAATTCTCCTCATCAGCACCTCAGGGAATGTATAGAGAAGAGTATGGAGAATATGTATACTAATGTTTGAGTGGAAAGGGTTAAAGAACCGAAATGTTTCATGTTTGGGTTTATCAGATGTAACAGATACAGCATAACTCAACCTATGTGCATGAAGAGGAAAATGTTCTTTGCCTATGTTACTCAAGCTTCAGTGTGAAATTTTTTCCTAAATGCAATTGCATCATCCCAATCTGACCAAAACCTCTCTTTCATTCTCTCACAATAACCTAACAGGTTCTTAAAATCCTTGTGAATTGCAGCATTTTGTGGGGAGCCCTTGTCCTGCCAGACAAATTGTGCTAGAAGACCAAACACTGTTGCATCCACAACTGTAGGCTCTTGACCCATGACAAATGGTTTGACATCCAGATAATCAGACAAGGTCTGCAAGTCTTTCTTTGCAATGGAATAAACTTCCTCTTTTTTATGACGGCCCATACCATGCCCATTTAGTTGCTCTTTACAGGTGCGTTGGAACATTGAAAAGAAGAAGTCTCGTTTCCTTTGTGAGGCTCTTGGAAAGAAACATTTTGATGTCAAATCCGTGGCATCAATCCAGCGATAGTATACCATTGTCCTAACAAGAGGAATAGAACACGCACTGTTTTAATTTTCCATTTAAAATTTTCCACTTTAAGTTACATTTGTTGCAACTCTAAACATTTTAAATTCCTTTTTCTCAACAATGAGCATCTGCAAACCAGTTAAGCAGCCCATAGTGTGAAACACACAAATAGCATGTTGCCATGATCAGTTATGTGATCAATCAAGAAAATAAATGAGCAACTTTGTAAACAGACATCTGTCAATATAATAGAAAGTTTATACATTTATTCCCAAGATCAGAGAGCTAAACTCCAGATATCACTACATATTTTTTGATTAACTATTCCTTAGAACTTGGATTAATATCAAGACAACATCCTTCTTTGATTATCATTTAAATTCTCAGTACTTCTAAGCTTGAAAGTGTAGTAAAATTGTAAGGAGAGTTTATGTGCAGATCACTCCTGTGTGTCAAAGATTTATAAATATAATTAAGAGTGTCTTGATATTAGCAGGCAAGTCAAGAATTTAAAGAAAGCGACAAAACTTTTAGGTCTGTAATACATGTTTTGACAGAAACTTCTATTATCTTCAGTTAATTAATGTAAAAAGTGTTGGAAGTTGAATTGTACAGTAAGTAGAAAAATGCTAATTATGATAAATGGTGACAACTCAAAAAGAGGTAAAGCATGAAAGTGTAAGAATTAAAAGGATAGTTTCAGATTTACATGGTGTAATTGTTGATTCAAAGGTTGGGTTCCTCTCTTTGAATATGAATTCAATTAAACTTCCAACGCTTTGTACATTAATTAACTGAGGATGAGAGAAGTTTCTGTCGAAACATGTATTACAGACTTAAAAATTTTGTCGCTTTCTTTAAATTCATTACTAAAGTAAAGAAAAATATCGATATCTTTGATTTTCTAAATTTCTCCCACACCATAATGCAGCTTGAATGTAATCAACACCAGCTGTGTCAGCACACGGTAACAACTGCTTTAAGAAAGACAATCAATTAGTTACAATAAGGCTTAATTACCAATAAGTGTTCTCCTCTACCATAGTTTTGAGAGCATAAGATACAGCCTTCTCTGATTTGCTGAGCTTGTCATCCAGAGCCACTTTGAATTCTTCATTCAGAAACGAAATGCAAAAGTTTGAATCAGCGATCTTCTTTCCATTGTATTCGATCCAGGGTATCTTTCCTTTGGAAGAATTCTTGGGCACGAAAGAATTCTCGTACGGGATGTCTGCCATTCGAAGGTAAGTTTCTAGTTTCAGAGCGAAGTTTGAAATCATAGGAACTCCATCTGAAATCGGAGGTTGATGCAGCAATACGGTACCATTAGGAACAGTTACCTTCGGTGCATAAGCACCGGGAATAATATCTTTCAAGAAGACGCGGACTAACATGGATCGCATTCGTGCCGCCATTTTGTTTCTCTAGAGAAAATGCTGGATAGCAATACATGCGGGCTCAAGAAGTTATAAAGTCCGCCCCTTACCCGCCTTCAGCTAGCCCACATATTGTGTTCTCTACATACTCCGACAGTTGAAGGGGATAGTAAACACTTAAGGTTTCATACTGCTTACCACAGGGTTCAAGAACTTATCACAAGAAAATATACCCAGTTCCCAAATAATAAAATTCCCAATTTAGAAACTCAACTATGGGAATTCAATACCCCAGTTTGGGAAACCATTGGGATTTAATTGGTATTTAACTGGGAAAAAAAAAATCTCTTCCTTGTTGGGGAAATTAAATTCATACCTTGAGAATGTGTTTCCCAATATTGGCAAACACTGTGGGAAATCATTGAGACTTGACTACCATGTTTTAGGCAGTCAATATTCTGTAATTGAACTTGGGAAATTGATTACATACCTTGAGAATATTTTCCCTTATTTTGGAAATATTGTGGAAATTTTTGAGAATTGCCTGTGAACAAATTCAAATTTTATATTGGGTAATACATTTCAGTTCTGGGGTATTTTCCTACCAATGTTGGAAAATGTTGTAGAAATCATTGATAATTTACTGGGATTTTCAGGAAAATCAACACAACGTTTTCTTGTTGGAATATACAGCACTAAGCTAACCCTTTTAACGTTACTTGGTATTCCTTGTATAAACTTCTGATATCATGATGAGAGCAATTCTGTAGTCCAGGGTATATGTAAAAGTCTCTCTTAAAGTGTGCTTCCATTCAAAAGGTCATTTTCAAGTTGGAAGGACAAATGATTATGATTATTCTTTCCATCAAATGACTGAAACCCATCCCAATGAAGTATGTAGGCTAAATTTCTTGGATCTCCAATGGCCATTTCCATCCTGTGTGTAAACACCTCTTTTCAATAAGGGCAGGTCACTAACTTCTCTGAATCTCATCAACTGATACAACTCCTTTACAGCTATGACATTTTGCAGGCAGTTTCCTCTGTTCTTCTGGATTCCAAAACCACTGGAGCTCTGCAAAACGGTTTCCATCCCATATTTCTTTTTTTCAATTCAAACCCCCACCCATCTTCACTTTCCTGTTCAATCTAGTGATCCTTTTGAAACCAGTGAGACAACACCTTCTTACAAAATATGGGGACTTACCTACAGGTTAACTTTTGATCCTAACCCAAGGTAGTAGAAGGGAATACTACCACGTTTGCTCCAACAGGGACAAAGTTAATCTTCTGAAGACAAAAGACTGAAATGACATCTTTGCCTCTTGTCTAGGCAAATAAGATAATTTTTAACATTCCTGTACCCTACTGAATGAAGAAACTTCCCTGCTTCCTTCCAACATGTTGGACACAAAATGATCAAATTCTGCATTGGGACCCATTAAGAATATCCTCTTTTCCCAGTCTTAAATATGATCAAAACCTATGTTTGGCAGTTTTAGTTCAAGTTGCAGCTCCAGTGCATTTAGAATTGCATTAAAAATTTTCTCTTTGAACACAAGCTCAATGTAACGAGCTTGATTACTTGGAAGTGTCTGAGATTCTTCAAGGTTGTCCAAACTGTTTCAAGAGAGCTTATTTCTGAAAGCCCAGTAAGCCCTTCATTCGAAATCCAATCCATTGAGCTGCCCAGAATTGAATCATCTTCGTCATTCCTTCCATCATTTCACTATAGCTGGAACCTCTCATAAGCAATGACCTCTCCTTCCCCCCCCCCTTATTTTTAGACAACAAAGTTTACGGTTGGACAGTATATTGGATGGTGCAGTATCACTTGGACAAGAAGTGATTGTTCTTGGTGACCTGAACACAGATTTTTCAGCCAAGAGAGCATCCATCCCTGAATGTAGACAACTAAAAGCTCTCTTTAAGTCATTGCAATTTAAAAAACTTATTGATGAGCCTACTCAAATTGCTTCCAACGCCAGTACTTTGATGGATTTAAGCCTTATTATCAGAGAGAACTGGGCAGAAGCAAAAGATCGAGGTTGGTGTTTGACCTCCACCTTTTAACCATGTTAAAGCCACCTGAAAAGATTATCAACAGTGGTATTTTCAGAATTTGGGAGAATTTTTGTTAAAGGATAAAAATTTTCTTGAAATCAGGGCCTTCCACAGGCATGAAATATCTTGATTTTCGGCCACCTTTTGTCGAACCTATATTAATTAGCACGAAGCGAAAAAAAAACAGCCCTTGTCTTTTTGAAATCTTTAGCCTATAATAAACTGATTGAAATATAATTTTCAATGTTTGCCCCAGTTCCATGTCTTTCATATCGCACTTAATATTATCGTCAAGTCGTTAATTAACCAGACCTAGATTTCTATCATTTTTACACTGTGTTTTCTCAAAAGTGCGCGGTTTATTTTTAAAGAAAGTTACTTTTCTTGACAGCCTATTAAACCTTTACTAAAATACAGCAAACTTAAAAATGGTACCTCTCTGTTACTCGGTATTACTGAATTGGAAAGTTCCACCAAATAACGTGAAGTAAAAAGTTTCCCGCCAAATTTTCAGCAACGTATTTTTTTCCGGTAAGTACTAAAAGAAGGAACGACCTAAAACCACCCACAACCACCTAAAACCACCTAAAACCACCTACAACCACCTCAAAAATTTCAACAACCACCTACAACCACCTCAAAAACATCTATAGCCACTCGCAAACAATCTAAAACTATCTAAAACAAGGCATAAATGTCTAAAATAAGGCGAGACGACATGTCACGTACATGAAATACGAGAATCGAACAAAACCACTACCTCCCCCTGAAGTCTTACTCTCGCTGGTCCCTTGTATAAGCGACCATCTCACGAAATGAGATGCGAGAGCTTGCTAATTATATTTTATATTCCCTCAGTAGTAAAAGACTTTTTCAACGTCTTCACGCGGCTGACAGGGTTACCCTACCTGGCAGACCGGGAAACCCGCCTGGGCGGGTCACCCCACCTATCATGTAAACGTGATCAAAATAAAGTAAGAAGTTATATGGACAGGCGGGTTACCTCACCTACCTGGGGTCCCTCACCTCCAGGTAAACAGGCCCTTAGAGAGGTCAATGGGACACCAAACAGGTAGCCAGAAACTTGATGAGGTTGCGTAACATAAAATCTGGGGTGATGTTATATTAGCGAGCATACAACAAAGAAAACAAAACAGTTTTATAATAAGTTAGTATTATTCAGAGAAAAAAAAATGAAATTGACTATGAATAGGAAAACCCGAAAAGGACAGTGACATTTGAAACGACGATAAACAGAACCTGCAAATCTCGCGAGATGCATTTAGTTTACAAATTCCCTAAAATTACTGCGCTTACAGGCAGCATCCTTACGAGTCCCAAACGCGAAATAGATCGAGTCAATTAGCTCTCGGAACCTACGACGTGCTTCATGCGTGGTTTCCGGTTCCGTTTAGTCTTTATTTTAACCTGCGCGAAAAGCCTCTGGAGCAGAGCGCTCCTTTAGTGGCGCTTAGCCAATGACAGGCCTAGTGCAGATTTTGGACTAGAGAGCTGATTGGTTCCTAATGACCAACTACGGGATTTTAAATGTAACAGACGCTGCAATTGGTTGCCGAGAATAGCAACTCCACGGGGAAATACTGTTAGTTGACAGGCACACTCTTTATTTAAAGAAATATAAGGTTTACAAAACTTCATGTCCTGCAAATAGCTACAATGCTAATCTAGGCAGGACAAGACTTTAACTAAAGGCGTTATTAAATTACATAAGAAAAAAGAAAAGAAGAAATACAAAAACATACAGAAAGAAACACCTTACATATAAATTCAAGTACAAGGGATTTTGTTATTTGAAAAAGACTAAAATTACAACTAGAGGTATATACAATATATCAGGTTAACTTCACAAAATATTCTATTAAAAAATTAACATTCAAATAATTATCTTCATTACCTAGAACATTAAGGAGTAGTGATTTAATTTTTTTACGAAAATTAGAAACGTTGAGAGTCTTAACAGAAAGTGGAATAGAATTCCAAATAGACACACCGATTCTAGTAAAAGATTTTTTCATTTTTTCAGTTCTAGAGAATTTGACAGAGAAGCATTCTTTTGCAGATAATCGCCTATTATAATGATGTTCTGTATTGATTTTCTCAAACTTATCGAGAAGACTTTTAGGAGCTGTCTTAGCATGAACGTCATACATTAAATAGCTTAACTGTTGAAAGAACAAAGACTGCAAAGAAAGGCAGTTTGATTCAATAAAAAAAGGGATTGCATGGTCTCTAGGTTTAGAAAAATAAATCAAACGTAGAGCACGTTTTTGCAGAACAAGTATCTTATTGAGGTAGGTCTGTGGACAGTTGCCCCATGCACAGATACCATAATTTAAATAAGGAGAAATAAGTGCATGATATAAATTCAAAAGAAGACGCCGTGGAATGTAATGCCTCATTTTAGCAATTATTCCAACCGATCTACTAATTTTGCGATAAACAAACCATGCATAGTCGATTTCGTGACGGCGGAGGTCGAAGCTTAACCGAAAAGTTCTGATAGAGCAGTCCAAGAGAGTATTGAAAAGGTTCTAGAAACGTTTGACGGGGTCGAAAACTTAAGTGTCGAGCAAAGTGATAGCGTATGTAAATTTATTCTCCCCATGGATCTCTTGGCGATGTTGCCGACTGGCTTTGGGAAGTCTTTGTTGTTCCAGCTTATTCCTGGACTCTGTCATCTCTTCAAGTGCCAGTGCATGTAATCACAGTGTGATTGGTTTAACTGTTATTCAATTAAAAAAGGTCAAAGCTCAACAGGAACGGAGGTTTTCTAGCGGCTTATACCGCTTGAAGTAGCGGCCTTCGGCTGCCGAAGTGCAGTATCCCCCCTGCTTTAAAAAAAACTCTAACACCCAGGGTATTCTTGGCATTGATTGCTTTTAATTTCCCCATTGTTACGCACGTTCCATTCTCTTCCGGTGACAAAGTGGCATCCCGCCGGAAGAACACGGAAA